CTGATTTATGTTAATGTAGTGGAGTGAGTAATACAGACTGTCAAGCATATGCTTCCTAAGCTTATTAAACCAAACTAGGACAGACACCCTATATCATGTTGGCACATTGGACAACTGAAAAAAAATCATTAAGTTGTTATGAAAAAATGTTCATGTTGAGCTGAAAAATTTTGCTTCCTGTAGACATGATTTATGGCCCTTCACCTAGAACAGCCATTGTATAATGTCTACAAAAATTTAAAGTTTGGACATTGCCAAAATCGGCGAGGCTGCACTGCTCAACCACATGGGGGAAAAGAATTATACATCTGCTATCCAATCATCCAAGGCTAACATGGGGGTGAGATGATAAAAATAATAAATAATGAGTAAAAAGTATCAGGTTTAAATTATTTTGACTGATTTTTATGTAAGCTGGTAAGTTTTTCATGGTACTTTGTTAATGTAACTGCTGTGTCAGTTAGCCTAACAAGTTTTGGATATGGATATTTACAGTTAATCCAGGAAAATTTTTTAGCATCTGTTGTGTTTCTTTGTCTCTCTGAATATTCTGTGTAAGGCTGCTGAGTGGTTATTGTCACAGGGGACAAAATATCTGGGTTTGCATCATAATTTTCGATTCAAAACAACCCCAGTTGCGAATCACTTTCCACTCCAGTAACCATAGCAATAGTTATCATGCAAACTGGGGAAAACTGACATAGTTTCTTCTCAAAAGGAAATTTTAAAATACAGTAAAATTCAATGATTTTTATGAAATAATTTTTTTTCTCACATTGTATTGTTAGTTGTATAATTTTTTATCAGTTCCATTATTATTGATGCTTTTTTTGTCTTGTTTTTTTATCACCTCATTTTATTACTGCTGCATTTTTACAAGTGTTATTTTTACCAGACACTCTTTCTACCACATTAGAGCAGACAGTTTCTTTGACTCAGCCTCATCATTCTCAACTTTCAAAGCTTTCCACAAAATCCTTTTGCCCATAGACCTCACTTGCTTCTGCAGCGAGCCAAGTCAAAGCTTTCTTTTGTTAACATCAGCCAAAACTTGTGTGACCTTTTATGAGTAAGGTGATCAAGTGACATTGTCTTTGGACAGAGAGAGAGAGAGAGTGTCCATGTACACAGGATCTAGAATGTTTACAGAAAGTTACTATTTGATGTATCACTAATATTAGATATTATCATGTGCCTGGCTGTTATTCCTTGAAATGTGAATTGCTGTTAAGCTCTTTTGTATAGAGAACTACATTTTCTCATTAATTTTATCAGTATAGCAGTTAACCTTTTTGGATTTTTTTAGTTTATTTTTTATTAATCAAATTATCCTGACTCCTTAAAAATTGGTATACCTGATATGAACTATCATAAAAGAACAACAACTAAGAAATAATTTAAATTTTGATGTGAAAAACCATTGAAACCTCTGTTTCCTTTTTAGTAATTAATATTGGTCGTATTACTTTATATGTATATCTATTGTATATATATATCAAGACTCACAGAAATTTTACAAATATATTTTGTTATTTTGTTTAATGATATTAATGGTTTGTTTCAATAGTAGTTCCTTTTTATAACTTTTTCTATGAAATTTCGTTTTTCAGACATTTAACCGTTGCATATTATTTTGGACTGTGTAAAGTTGTTAAAACACCACAATACTTGTTTATTGTAGATACAGTCATAAAGAAAACATTATCTTCTGTGGTTCTGATGTGCAGCAGGCTGTCTTGGATGATATCAAGTTATTTAAGCTCAATGGAGGAGGAAGTATCGTTGAGAACACCACAAATGGTTTAAACAGAGACTTGAATTTCATGCAAAAGGTTTCTGTAGAAACTGGGGTCAACATAATTGCTGGAGCTGGTGAGTGAAGTTTAACACAAACTATATTACATACTATGGATGCACGGGTATGAGTTATGAGATTTCACATGTGAAATTTGAAAATTTTCTGATGCATAAAAGTATTTTTAATCTTATAATGAAAATTACTTTGAATGTTGGATAGGCAATAGGTGAAAAGAAAAAAGGCATGAGAAAAACATTGCTTAACAAACCTTAAGACTTAATAAAAAAATTGATATTTTGTGTATGAAAGCATTGTAATGTTTATTGACAACCTGCCAAATTTAGTGAATGTATGCTTATTAATTTAAAAGTTATAGCATGAAAACTATAACAAGCACAAAATGGTTATGAGGACCGAGCCTGTGCTAAAAGAGTTAAATATTAAATGACATCTGTTTTGCTTCCACCATGTATGGCACTGTCCTGGTGCACGTCTCTCCCTAGTGACTCCACACCTATGCCCTGGACTTGAAAGTCCAGTATGATAAAGATGCCATTGAATAAATGGAATCTGGGAGAACTACACTCTGGCAAGTGCTAGCTCTTTAATCTGGGGTTGCTTCACATCTTATTACAGGTTCTGCCAGTCCCCTGGTCACTCTATAGCCTCTGGTTGTCTTGGCAACTTGCCTGACTTTTTGGAGAAAATCTCTGCTGCCCCACACTTCATCCTTCTCTTCTATGAGTACTCATTGTCAGCATTTCAACTCTTATTAATGGAATTCTTCCACCAACCGTACCTGGCTCTTGGGGTGATTGGATGTCTACTTTCATGGAGAGGTACCAGTTGTCATCATCATCAGTGAGTTCTCGCTGTCTCATCTGCCATCTTACAGCTACCATTAATGGCTGTGCTTCCATCAACACCCTTTCACTCACAATTCAGTGTCTAGATCCTTTCTCCACAGAGAAGTTCCATGCCTTGCACCCAGTCATCCTCCTCATGTTCACCTGTGACAATTTATACTTTACTGGTGAAACAACTGCTGTTGGTGGAGATTAAAAAGCTCCTTAAATTGCACTTTTTCATGGCTTTTTACATTTTCCTGTTTGCAGTAGGTAGTAATTAATTACATAGAAACTGATACTTATTCTGTCAACCATATATGTAGACAGTTGCCATCTACAAAGATGGCTTTCTTTTTTCACTGCTACATAAAATTAATAATAGTTTTTAGCTTGAAAATTAAAATACTGACTTTCTGATCATTTGAATTCTTCAAACATTTTCAGATTTTAATCTAGCTTGTTTTAGGCCATGCATTTTTATTTTAATACTCAAGAAACTCTCCCTCAAATGTAGGTGTGGTAGCATAGGGCAACAAGATTTTTTTATCTTGTAAAACAGTTTGAGGAAAATCTCAAAATACATTCTTTTGTTGAATTTAACTGTAAGACGATTTATTTTTCTATATTTTAACTTACATGCTATATTACCCAGTAAACTTTTTGATGATACCTTTGGTGCTTGGTTGGAATATTTTCATCATTTGTAGTTAGCATCAGTGATTCCTCTTCCTTTATCTGTGTAGAAATATTTCCTTCTATGAACTGTTTGGTCAGATTGTCAGGTTTTTGCATATGGGCCAGATTCTTTACAGTAGGTGTATGTGACTTGTTGGTGAAAATTTCAACAGTAAACAAACAGAACACAGTCCACTTGTTTAAAAATATTATATTAAAACAAGTCAAAAATGTTGAAGGTTATTGGATTAATAATCTAAACACTGTTCATTGGTTTAATCTCTGTCAGAAAAATAATTCTTATTCTTTGATTATTTTTTTTCATGTAATGTGAATGCTGAATTTCCTAAAACTTACTATATTTCTAAGATAATTTTCCATACCTGTTTTTATAAATTGATTAGCATAACATATCATTTTCAATCAGTCTCCAGGTGTAACCTTTATTTTACTTAAACACTTAAGTAGTTTGAAACAATATTGTTTGACAGTATGACCTGTAACAATATTGTTTTTGTAGGTTAGTCATGACAGCATGTTTGATTTCTGTCAGGTAAGTTTTCTTCTTCTTAAGTTGCAAAACTTTTTTTAATTTTCTCCACTAAAGGCTTTATGATGCCCACTGTTGGTTTTTTACCTTCAGACAACACAGGAGTAACATGGTGTACTGGTTCCATAAGATTCAGGAATTTTTCTGCAGTGTCAATACTTCTGCATGACATACTGTTTGAAATTGCTGCCACATTTCTTTTGCTAAGCTTTTCATCTTTCAAAGCTGCCAAGAATGCAACTTGTTTTAATAAGTGCTGGACCTTAAGGTTGCTGCTGGGGAAGCTGAAGCAGTGCTTGCTTCTTTTAACAGAGAAGATGCGTGTGCACTTCTGTGAATAAAGCTAACCAATGATTTCATACTTGCAAGCACATTGTGAACAGCTTTAACTTCAGTTGCTTTTCCTGAAACCAAGTTTAAGGCATGGGCAAAGCATCCTATATGAATAGGGATCTCAGCCACTCTAGCAGCAATTCTCATGTTTGAAGTGTTGTCTGTAGTAATACAACATGATGAACACTTCCATTCAACAGCAACTGATTTCAAAACTTCACTAGTATGCAATTCAAGTAGCATGCTTGTTTGAAGGACAGCTAACTTCTAACTTGAAGTCTTTACAGTGGTGGGTTGTTATTGTAACATAAGACGTGGTTGATCTGATTTGTCTAGGAATATTTGGTCCATGAAACACTTTCAACTGACTGGAAGACTGGAGTTCAGCCTTCATTCTTAGTTAGCTTTGATAAAATTATTTCTCTAAAGGTGAATTTGGCTGGCATTTGGTAATGAGAAATCATATTTTATTAATGAAGCTTTGATTGATGTTAGCAGAAACTTTGTTTATGTCATTTTCAAAACTTAAAGGTAACATATTTAACGTAGACCTTTGTCCTTTACCTATTTTCTTCAATATCTACAACAAATTTTAATTATCACACTGATTTTCAATGATAATGTATTATATTCTAAACTGCTGATGCTGACACAAATGTTTTAAGAAATTTTAGTCCCTCCACTGAATTTAGTCTCTGCATGGCATATTTTGCAAATAACAATGTGTTTCTAAGATGATACTTTAGTTCCACACACAGAATATCTATATTCTTCACAAATCTGCCTTTGAGATTTTTATGCTACTAGCCTTGAGCTAATTCCCACCTAAAATTTACATATTTAATGTGAACTGTGCAGGTGCATGATGACATCATCATGCAACAAAGCCCTTCACCAATAGAAGGGTGACACAACCTCCATGCACAGGGGTTCCCCTTAAGCACTTGCTCTCAAAATAATTTCATTCTTTTCCTCAGCATTGCCTTGAGTGGACATGTTAATTTTTCTTGCTTAAGTTCAATTCCATCAGATTTGCGATTATTAGCAAAACTTACATTTTCGTTCTAACTTAGCTTTTGTTTCAAAAGCATTAACTAATTTCTAATCTTAATGAGTTCTCAAGTGATGGTGATGTTTACTTTCTCCTGTTAGAGTGAAAATATTTCAAACACAATAATTATTTCTACTATGGCTACTGGAGGCTCACTAACTGTTGAGGACTTTACAGCCATTGTATAGTGTGTGTGTGTGGGTTCTCTCAGGCATACTGAACTTCCTCCTTCCATCCTTTCTGCTTAAGTTCCTTCACCTCAGTTTCAGAATGACCAGTGGGATGATGAATTTGACCAAGTGTTTCCCCTAACTGAGCTTGCTTTGGGTACCACTTTACTGGTCAAGGAAGATCCTCAACCTTTCAATCTTTTTCTGGGTATGATTTCTCAGATATGTTCCTTTCTTTCTCTTTTTGCCTTCATCTTTTGATTCACTTTTGATTCTTTCCCTTCTTTACTCCACGTAAGATTCCTTTCTCTTACCTCCTTCACCTGATATTAGGGTTCATGCTGATTCTTTTCTAGAACAACTATGTACCCACATATCTCGTCCCTCTCACCTTCTTGAGTCTTTTGTCCTAGCATATGACCATTCTTCCTTTCTTTTTCTTGATTCTCAGTCTATGGAATTTCTTTTACTTGCTTGAGTAGCAGACCCTTTGTTTTTTATTTCACTTTTTATTGCCCAGTTTTTGCATCTTCATCTTTTTCTTACTACCTTCTTACATTACCTGCCATCCCTTCATCATATGTCATATGCTCTTTACTACCTTGGCCTGTACCACTTTTGCCCTTTCCCTCCTTACTCAGTTCCTCTGCCTTTTGGACTTGTTGGGTCGAGATGCACTTCTTACTAATGTTCATCTACCTCCTTCATATCTCTGTGATCTTCTTCTGGCTTCTTTTTTCATCCAAAGGATTCACTGATTCACCGGAGACCCAGGCTGAGGCAACCCAGCATCAGTCCTCATTTTCTTCCCTTGTCCTTTCTCATGCTTAAACAGTATTTAACACAACTCTTATCTTAATTGTATTCAGCTTTTATCTTTTCACATAATGGAATGTCTGGTAATCAATTTTCATGCTTCTCATTTTCACTTGATGTAAGAGGTTCTTTCACTTCTGGAGAGTGGCTTCCCTGGAATCCCTCATTCCTTTGGGGTGTACACATATGCACTTCCTACAGTGAACCTTGTGCAACCAATGGAATCTTTCTCTTTTTGATGTGTTTTGGTGGTCATGAGACATATCCCCACTTTTGGTGGATCAGTTAGCCATGATCCACTCTAACAATTCTAGTGTTGTTTCTTATATCATCTGTTCCAGGGCTCTACTTTCAAGCACTGGACCACCAATTCTGAGCTCATTTCCCAACAAATTCTTCTTATCTCTTGTTATGTGCCAAGGGCTTTGAACCTGGTGGTAGATCATCTCTGTTGGCTGGACTTCATCTTGCTCATGGAGTGGCTTTGTAGGTGCCTTTCTTATTCCTCTTGACTCCAAGCTACCTCTCTTCTAATCCCTAGTTCTTTATCTTTTGGCTGTGGCTGTCATTGCCCTCAGCCAGGATTTGTCTCACCTTTTTATGTATGCCTATCTTCCTCTTTGTCTCCTCC